GGGCCTCGGCCTCCCCATCTGTAAAACTGACTCAGGCTATTGTGAGAATTAAATGAGATAGTGCACTGTGAACACTTAGCCTGATGCCCAGGGCATAGGAAGAGTTCAAGAAAAGTCAGTTATTCTTTTTTTGTGGTTCCTCTCTGTGACCCTTGCCTCTGCAAGTGAAAACATCAGGACCAGAATATTCATTCAGCATTCAACTCTGCATCTCTCACTCTGGCAAACCAATTATAATAACGCACCCCCAATTCTATTAATTCCCATCAGTTATACTCCACCCGCTTCATGCTAAGCACTGGATGGGCATCACTGCCACATGGAAAGGATGGCTGTCACCACTGCTGTGGACTGAATGTCCCCCCAAAACTCACTGAAGCTTGACCCACACTGTAACAGGACTAAGAGGGTGAGAAATCCAATCCCGGTATTTGAAAGGGGGGCCTTCAAGAGGTGACTGGACAGTGAGGACGGTGCCCTCGTGAATGGACTGATCCATTCATGGAGTAGGGGGTGTGGTTCTGATGGCTTTATGAGGACAGCGAGTGAGAAGGTTAGCTCTCTCTTGCTCATGAACATTTCTCTTGCCACGTGACACCCTAGTCACCATGGGACTCTGTAGAGTCCCACATAGAAGAAGGCCCTCACCAGATATACCCCCTGGACCATGGACTTCCCAGACTCCAAAACTGTAAAAAATACATTTCATTTCTTTATAAATTACACAGTTTCAGGTATTCTGTTATAAACAACAGAAAATGGACAGCCACCTAATAGAGGAAGCATCTAGAGAACCAAGATTAAGTGACTTACCCAAGGTCTATCAGCTGGAACGTGGCTAGATGGGGGATTTAAAAGGGCCAGGTAAGGGTAACATTTCTAAAGCATCGTCTAAGTCCCAGGCTTCTTCCATGACAACCACATGGCCATATGCACCTGGGCAAAGGGAAGAGCTGCCCGCCCACCTGCACGCTGTAGGCATGTGTGTCTGTGCAGAGGTGCTGGGTGCCCACCCACCTGCATGGTACTGATACAGAGGCTCCTGTGGATCACAAACTGGCTGAGGGCAGCTGATCGCTTATAGCTGTTCCGGCCATGCACCATGAGTAACCGGCCAAGATGCTTAAATTGAGTGATGGAGAAGTCCGCAGCCAGCGAAGCCTGTTTTCCTTCCTAAAATCCAATGAAATCAGGCACTGTCAGAAGCACAAGGGGTCAAGGCAAACACACCTTTTTTAATTGAAAAAGTAAGACATTGTAAAGAGATCTCTGAGGAACTTCAATAAAGAGATTATTTGGTTTCGAGCTGTATGCAGTTGATGGTCCAAGTCTAAATTTGGTTCTAAAAGAAGAATTTATTGAAATAAAAAACATTCTGAATCACAGATACTTATAATTTGGAGGACAAGTGGATCTTGTATTAAGTCTTGAGGGTTTGGCCAACCCCATAAGCAGCAAACAATGACTCAAAAGTGGGTGTTCCATAAAATTCAGCTCCCTTAAGAGTTAAACGTAACAGGAGAAATGACCTGATGCTACTGGGGGCGGAGGGGAGGAGAAGAGGTAGACTAACGGGTACAAAACTTAGCTGTCTACCCTAAATGAATCATTGTGCATATATGCATGCACTGAAAAAGCACAATGTACCCCGCACATATGTACATGCTAAAATAAAAAAATAAAATAAATAAAATAAACTGATGCTAGTAACAATATTAAATGAAATATTCCTGAACATACAGCTCTGCACATTTATAGAAGTAGAAAACTGATAGGTCAATCTTTAATGGAATTCTCTCATTTTAAAAGATCCTTGTTGGATGCCAATAATGGGACAGAGGGACGTTAGGGCTTCCTGATGTGGTGCAACTGGGAGAACACAAATTCCCCTTATGTGGTACTCACACCAAAAACAGAATCTGAATCAAATCAATCTAACAGATATTGGGGACATTCTATAGCTGTCCCGAATGCTTCAAAAACACCAGTGTCACAGGGTTGGCCAGTTAGCTCAATTGGTTAGAATTCAGTGTTATAACACCAAGGTCAAGGGTTCAGATCTCCGGACCAGACAGCTACCAAAAGAAAAAAAACAAAGCGATGTTGTGAAAAAGACCCCTCCCCAAACATAGTGAAAAACACCCCTCCTCAAAAATGGACAGAGAAAGTGTTCTACATTAAGGAAGATTAAGGAGACACAAAAGCATGCTAAGAAATGCACTTTGTGACCCTTGATTGGCTCCTGCGGCTTTTTTTTTTAAAGCTACAAAGACATCTGAGGACAATTAGAGAAATCTGACTATGAATATTATATATTACCATTATATCAATGTTACATTTGGCTGGTGGTGATAATATTATTTTGTGTAGGTAGGAGAATATCCTGGTTCCTAAGAGATACATGTTGAAGTATTTAGGGGAAACATATTATGTCTGACACATACTTTCAACTGATTCAGAGAGAAAATGTGGCAAATGTTAACAACCAGTAAACTGA